CCTAAAAATATATTTAAATGTTGTTTATAAATTTACTTGAAATACTTTCTTCTCCATTTGTATAAATAAAAGGAATTGAGTTAAGAGAATAATGATTTAATGAGGAACTTTATATAATACAACAGAATAGGAAAATTAATGAGTGTATTATATCTAATATAGATGTTGTTATACAACAGGCCCGAAAATCATGTCAAGTTTACACCTGTTTTACTTCATGTTGATTGCGTGTACGTGCGTGCGTGCGTGTTTGTGCGTGCGTGCGTGTTTGTGTGCGTGCGCGTGCGCGCACATGATGCATAACTCTACTTATAAGAATGAAAATAAAAGGCCAAAGTAATGTTCATCTTTTGAAAAACAAAAAACGGCTTTTTCTCTTTTTTTTTCCATTATAATCAACTAGAAAAACATTTGATTCATCCCAGATAACATTCAAGCACCTTAATACTAGTATAAAAACATTCTATTTTAGAGAGCCTAGAAGCGTTCTTGTTGACGTCGAATATGTACACAAATAGATGGCTATGGTTATGAATAGAGTTCCGATCGAAATTTCAGTTTCGGTTTCGGTCAGTTTTGTTAAAAAATCGGGTTTCGGTTTGATTTCGGTTTTGGTCGAAATTAAGAGAAAATTTCGGTGGATAAACTGAATTGTACAAGTTGCAACGCGCAGGTAAGCGTTTAAAAAACAACTGTTCGATCGTAATTATTAACTCGTTGATTAAACTTGAGACAATTTGAGTACAAACTTTGATGTAATCCTAATAATAACAACTGTGATTTGATTTTTTTTTAAATTGAAGAGGCAATATTATTATATTATTATACAATGATGAAAAAATATATGGGCAATGAGAGCGTCAATACAGCGCGGAAATTTGTGCGCAATTATAACAAGAATTTCAACTAATTCACATAATATATTGTACTACCATGTTGATCAAAAAATTTCCTTGGACGGTTTGCTCCAAACCATCTTCAGCAAGTTGTGAAAATTTTTTCTTCGATGTCTTATAATAATAATTCGCAAAACGTTGAATAGGTAATTCTCGTCGATATCTTGACAAATAGTCCGCAATGTTGAAAAGTATTCTACGTGAGACCAGAGGATGAGAATATCCCTACTGTCAGGTTGAAAATTGCCAAAAAATTGTCTCTTCGCCGTTAAGCTAAATGACTAGCTGAAGAGAGCAATGTGCAAAGCGATTAGTTGCGTTGTTATTAAAATATAAGTGTACTTATTCAACTCACCCTCCGTCTCCATAGATCACAAACAATTATTCCAAGCGTAATTTTTTAAGAGAATACAAAAATTCTTAAGTTATTGTTATAAAGAGAATAAATTTCAACAAACTTCTTTTTTAGTGTATTTTCTCACTTATGACATTAAAATCTAAGGTAGTAGTGGTAGTAGCGAGGGTAATAAAGAATAAACAAAAATTTAAGTGCTGACAGAACAAATAAATATAAATGCATATTAACGTATATTTTTTCTTGTTTACACATATCTTCTAATTTTCGCAAAATGAGAAAGATATCGAATGCGGTGAAAATTTGTCGTCAAATTATACATGGATAAATCTCACAACGTCTGAGATTCATCATTAACACAAACAGCCTTTAGGCAACCAAGCCTATTTAGTACACGTGTCCTCATACATTAAATCGTGGCGATCCTATTTGCGACGATTTGAAGGGTGAGCAAAAGAGACAGAAAGAAGACACAAAAATCAAACGAGAGAGACTGAGATCGGAACAAAGGGCCCGCACACTTCGCCACGTGACTGTCGGTGGTACGACTTCGGGGTACTGTAAGTGCCAGAAAGCACAAAGCTTCACACACACATCACTCTCTTTTTCTCTTTCATTTTTTCCTTATCCCTTTCTTTCCTTCTCCACCTTTTCACATTCTCTATCTCTTTTCATCTTTCATATGTAGATTGACCGCAATTTGGTGCATATAATGCACATTGCGCGGAATTTACAGTAAAGAACGTCGACTGCATTGCGCTACATGTTTTGTTTTTGTTCATTCATCGATTTGTTCGCAAGGGGAAGCTCACCTGTTAAAAATTCATAAAATTTAATATACTTTTAAATTACACAATTTGAACTTAATTTCATGACATTACATTAAATTTGATGTATTTATAACTTAAAAGTATGTTTGTATACATGTATACGAAATTTAATGTATTTTTCATGAAAATTTATGAAATTTAATGTACACGTTCATTACATTTAAGTAACTTAATTTTCAGTTAAATCATTTATTACTTTTTTTAACCACGAGCTTCATTTACATGTAATGAAAACTCGTGGTTACATTTCTAATTCTAACAGTGCTCGTTACCGCTACGTGATAAGTCCTGCCCGAGTAGAAATTGAACTAGTAAGGCTGATTTTAAAGATAGTAACTAGATAGTAAATACTAAATAGAATTTTAAAATCAGATAGAGCTAATTGCTAGCTAAACATTTATAATCAATTATTTATAGTCTAGCTGTTATGTAGTTATCATACATTGGACATAATGATAGATGGTGCTGCATTGCTATGTAAATCTAATAAAGCTATCACCTCACCACTGGCATTTTTAAATTAATTATGAAGTAAGAATTGAAGTTATTTTTTTCGATAAAAATTCCTCTAGTACCTATCTAATACCCAAGTAGCAAAGTGTCGTCAAAATGACGTCTTTTTTGAGTCAATAATATCATCAAAGTCACGTTTTAAAAGACGTCAAAAACGAAGTGATAATGACGTGCATAAGTCACAGACCGATGACGTGATACTTATGATGACAAAATGATGGCATATATCTGTGACGAAAAATATATGTATCCAGGAAACAAACAAGCTGACGATATTTGTCATTTTTTTATTTTCTATTACAAGGAAACTCGAAAAGGAAAAAAGAAAAAGAAAAATGAAATAGAATACAATAATAAAATAAAACAACATAAGAGAGGTGAGGGGGACCACCGAGAGAATAGCGAAATGCTGACTTACTACTGCGGCGGTCTGAAAGACCTGGTAAAATGAGATAGGGCCCTTGTTGGCGCATTCTGCTGGTATTTAGTTGGGGCTGTGACCAGGTGTCCGAGCTTGATGACTGCCTCCAATACTGACTCTAAGTCTTTAAATGTCGGTCAAATATGCGAGTTTAATAGAGTTTCTCCCGCATTGATTTTAAATATGGAGTTGAAGTGTTGGCTGGTTAAAAGAGAAATAAGAACTTCAGATCGCTACGTCCGTGTCTCCCAGAAAAAGAATCAGAAAATAGGCGCTGATCCAGCGGGGTTTTTATAGTAGTCTGCTCTGATTAACAGCGCATCTATTGGTGGATAGGATCGTTAATTAGGTGGTGGGACCTATTTCTTGCTTTCTAATTGGTCAAGGTTCGGAATACGCTTGGGGGTGGAAAAGGATATTGACCGGGATCTGTAGCGTTTGAAAGTATCATCCTTATTTTTATGATAAATTTGTAAATAGTAAAACCAGACTTATTTTTATTTTTATGATCTTAAAATTTATGAGAAAGCGCATGTGTAGTACGTCGAGGAAGCGCACATGCAGCGTCGTTACGGAACCATCAAATACCACCCCCTGAACGTCGCTTGTCATGTCTTAGATTTTATTATCACGGACTCGTGAGAATCGTTCGCGACTTGACCATTAGAAAGTATCTTGGCGCCGGTCTTACGCTCTCAAATGACATTTTTATAATTATTTATTGTTTTCGTCTAATCGCGGCGTTCAAGAAGGGCATTTTCGGTGTCTCGTTTACAAAATGCTCTGTGTTCGCGCACGTGCACCGATTTTTAATTTATCTTATTTGACATTTACGTGAATATACTGGAGTCTTCGCTTTTGTCGTCGTGGAAAAAAAAATTTTTATAGCTTTTTAAGCTGTAACAGCTGGATTTTATTTGTTTGTAACAACTGTCTTTATATCTTCGACGGACTTCAGATCTCTATAAAAGAAAAGAGTCATGAGAGTCCGTTGGACATAACATTATATCTCATACATTGTTACAAAATTAAAAAATTTTTCTCCATAGGCTTTTTTTTTTTAGAAGACATTTTCCCAGAATCTCCGGTCGGATATGCGAAAAATATCGGATATCCGACTCGAAGAAATTACCTTCTCGGATATCCAACCGGATACTGGATATCCGATATTATGTTCTGTCCGGATATCCGGTATTCGGTAATTTTACGATCCAGTGCATCCCTAGTTTTCGTGACGTTATAGGAATTTCATGTTCTATACGGATTACCACAGACTAAGCAGGACCCACGAATTGTGCAATTTGTTTGCGAACAAAGTAGTTATATTTTTAAGAAATGTTTACAAACATTTGCGAACATTTTGCGATTCATGTTCTCGCTTCGGCTAGATCATTAGCAAATACTCACAAACGTTTGCAACCATCTTTTAATATGTTTGATGGGTTCAGCGAATTTATCAAATATCTTGCACGGTTGGATTCTGGGCTGAATGATATGGATTAATCAATAAGGAGGGGGTTTTAATAGCGTACATCGTTAATTGGCCAATTTATAATAAAATATTCTCATATAAAACAGTGAAATGTTACTAAGCACCAACCGATGTGAATAAATGAGTGCTATGGTATTGCGCAATAACGGAACTCTTCCATAAAAACAATACAGAATCTAGTTAACCAACCAAATTCTTTTGCGTTTTTATTCCGTTTCGCGATTTCTGACTCCAGTTCTGTGACCGCATCTTTACTTAAGATGGTCTCAAAATTAAAACTTACACATGAATATGGGCCTAGGATCTCGACAATAATATGTATTGAAGTAAAAATAATTGAAAATAAATTACACTTAGCATTCATAATACTTTAACCATATCAAATTAGTCATATTCAAAAGTCATATTCAAAAGAGAAGTCAATTTTTGATGACAATTTTAATGTAGTTATCCATCTATTCTGATAATAGTTAAATTATATTTACAATTTCAGGTGAAAACATTTTTAAACCTACAACAACAGGCAGCAGAAGTAATGGCAGCTGTTGCCATTTGGGAATTAGAATTGAATGATGTTGAGTTGGAGCTTGGCAATGTTAATAAACACGGAAAGTTATGTATAAAAGAACAGATTGATCCTTTGTACAAGTGAGTAAATTTTTCCTTAATTATTTTGTATATAATCATTGTATTAAATGCTAAGTAAGAATATTCGAGCCTACAACGGTCGAAGCTAGATCTTTAATGCTTAAATAATTCAATATGAATTATATATATACTATATATGTGTACATGCATACATACCATATCTGTAGCTATTCAAACTGCGCGCCAAATTAGTTTCCCGGACTTACAAACGCAATTAAACTAGTGAAATAATGTCACAAATTAAATTAAATTGAGGCAGAGCGCCCCTTGTTCTCGCCTACTAAGTGGGAAACGATCGGAGCCGATGGGAAAGCGTATCGAGAGCACTCGATAGAGGCAAGATACGCCTTACCCCGCACGCTCCAGTTTGGCACTAGGATCAGGATCGATAATAGCGTAGAGGATACTAGCTACAATAGGATCTGGCTGGCACGAGGATTGTCAAGAAAAGATAGCTCCGACGAGAAATATAATCTTTTATAATAGTAAAATAATGTTCCTTCGCTCGAGCTCCCCCATGAATGTGCCTTTCAGCGCTATCTCGTGGGGACTAGGGACTCGGCGATACTCGGTCGTGTTCGGATTTCGCGCCCCGAACGCGTCTTCACCTGTGAATTTTGTTCAAATTATTATCGGGCATATCGCGCCCTCATCGCGGCATAATGTCGCGGCATCCAGCTTGGCGGGAGGCTGAGAACGATGCATTATCTAGGAATGTATCATTACAAGCAACAATAATTTCTTTAAAAAAAATGTCATTGCATATTTATAGGACAATCTTGAAGTTGCTGAGAGAGTCCTGAAGCATCTTCAGCACTTGTCATATTGTCATGCCTAATGACGCACGAAATATCAGCTCCATATAATTAGTAAACTTTAATCGCTATTAATTTAAAAACTATTAATTTAAAAACTATATTATAGTCTCGACATCTTCATATTAGGATTTTCGTCCGAGAATCAGCTTTTAAAAGGATGGGTCGTAGAATATCCTGTATATATGTAATTGTGACGAAATTTATGATATAAAAATTTGATACTACAGATGGAAGAAATTCACGCCCAAAGTTATCGTGGCTCGTGACATAGTACAACGACCATCGGCACTCACCGTTGATTCCTGGAGAGATAACATTATCATAGCCTGTCCGGGATCAGGACGGGTTGTCGTTCTCGACAGGAAGTTCGAACTTGTACGGAAGATTCGTCATCAGGAGATGATAGCACCTCAAGGAGTAGCCTTCCTGCCGAAACACGATGAAATATATGTGACAGGTTTTGATATTTAATTTTTGAATAATGAAACACAAAACATCAGAACATGGCTTAAACTTTTAAAACTTGGTTTACTAATTTTCATCGATTCTTACCATTTTTTCGTTTTTGCAATATCTTTATAATTTTTTCTGTTAAAAATGATTTAATGAAACAAAAACTAATAAGTACACAAATAAATAAGAAATATAGGGTCTCTCTCTCTCTCTCTCTCTCTCTCTCTCTCTCTCTCTCTCTCTCTCTCTCTCTCTCTCT